TGTATACGGGGGGCAGAGGGGACGGAGGAGCGCACTGGGGAGGGGGAGGGGGGGGGGGGGGGGCTGCATCGACCACCGCTTCCCTAAGCTGCACACTCTCTCCTTGTGCTTCCCCCTGCCCCCCCCCCCTCCTTTCTCCTGCAATGAGCTGCAATGCACGACAAGAACAGCCAATGTATATTTGCTGGATTTCAAAAACAAAAGGCACGAAAACGTGCACACCAGTGCCAAAGTACGAGCGGTTGAATATTATAACCAGTCGCAGTTGGTGTTAATTGAGTCGATCCCTCCCCCCTGCTCCCTTCAGAGCAGACTTCAGATTTTTGGTTCTTTTGTAGACGACGCCACGTTAAGGTGACAAGCGACAGTGTTAGCCAGTTTAGTTTCAAGAAGCTATTTCCATATGCACAAAGCTGTTCCGTGCTTATGTTTCCGACTCTGTGCGAGCATTAGGAATCCCGTACTACTCCGTGTCAAGTTGAGCTCTCAAAAAAATGTTTGATTCCACCACAGGTTTGTCGTGTTTGTCGCAAGTCCGCCTTCCCCGTTTCTTGTAAATATCTTCCCGCGTAAAAAGAGGTTTTATACTAAAAACTGAATGTGTTTTTTCGAAGATTTCTATGTTTCGATGAACCCCGATACCTCCTGCCCCACCTTTCCCATGCCATCCCCAAGGTGAAATTTGGCTTTGCGGTAATGTTTAAACTCTTTACGCCCTGTAGTAGTGCTTCTCAAGATTTTTGCACAAAATACCACCTTAAAAATAAGTACCAACAATCCTGGCCGATGTTAAAATACAGTAGCGTTGTCGGCCTAAATTGTCCCAGAAAGTATATTAATTACAGTGGCGCCTTGAGATACGAGTTTTTTCACTTTGAATTAAGAGCACAGACTTGAGATATGAATGCTTTAAGGTGGCAGTGAATCACTCAACAACAATCAGCTTTTTGGAAGAATAAACAATTCTTCAAAAATGGCCCCTCCAAATTTAGTGTCAAACTAAACGTAAAACAAAGGAAATTACGCATGATGTATTTAAAACAACCACATTACATTGCCTTTAAGTCTGCTAGCTTAATGCTAACACATGACTTGAAATGCGCGAGGTACGCTAACAAATAACATCGATGTGGCAGTGATAGAACGCTTTGAGGAACAGATTTTTTTTAAGCACAAACAGTGCAGCAACACACATAGACAGACAATATTCATAGGCTTGTATTCTCGATTGGATGCAAAAAAAACAACTACAGTGATCCCTCGCTATTTCGTGGTTCATTTATCGCGGCTTCAGTGCATCGCGGATTTTTTCAAACATATTCATAATTTTTTTTTTTTTTAAGTCCGCAAAAGGTCCGCGAGAAGCAGCGAAAGTCAGCAAAACAACAGCGAGTCACATAGAGCAACATATACAGTACTACATGTATATGTTTACTGTATTTTGTTATTCATAAACTAACCTAACTTATACATGTTTAAATCTATTACTATACAGCATTAAGTCATGTTAATTACTTTACATGCATGTATACTATTAAATTTGGCCTGGTAAATATTATGTACATGTACCTATATGGAGGGGGTGGTCGCTACTTCGCGGATTTTCGTTTATCGCGGGTGGTTTTGGTCCCCATTAACCGCAATAAACGAGGGATTACTGTACTTTCACACAAATGGAAAAAAAAAACTAATGCAGATTATGGAGTTTGTTTTGAGTTGTGAGCATGGTCACAGGGCGAATTGCACTCGTATCTCAAGGCACATCAAAAGTCCTGTTAAAAACTAACAGCTCTGAACTGTACTTTGGCAGTGGTTCTTTGGCATCCACATAGCGTCAGTTTAAGAATCACTTGCTCCATATTGTTTTGGGCGAAAAGCATGGAGACTTCTTTCGGGCGTGTGCATGCGTGTGAGGAGAGACGTGTTCTAAGCATGAACGAGAACCTCTGCATGATTCACAGTAATCCCTCCAACATGGAGGGAGCATGCCGTTGTCCCTTTTCTGTCCGGATGGTGCGCTTTCATTGTTTGCTCCGTCTCGCTGTCAGGTAACCCGAAAAAAAAAAAAAAAATCCAAACTTTGATAGAATTGCTTCTGTTGGCTTTTTGCTGCCAAAATGGAGTCATCTTGGCTTCCGGTAAAGCCTGTCAGCTTGAGTTATTGAGTGTACGGAAGTTTTAACGGCTGGCAAATTTCACATGAAATTCACTTGCGTAACGATTTTTGCAGCTGTCACGTGGACCAAAATTAGGACGCCGACATGTCTCACATTGAGAATCTGTCTAGGAAGGAACTCAGAAATGCCGTCAGATAAATCAAATGTGGAGCTCTGATTCGCATTTTGAAGGTCAATAAAGCTGAATGCCACTTCACTAAACTTTGCACACACATTTGGGCCTGGCAAAAAATTTGCTGTTTCATACACGATTAGATTTTTATTTCCTTTTACTTTTGTCTTTTGTTATTATTTATTTATTGATTTATTTTGTTTTGTGGTATTTTATTTTTATGTTCATCTTATTTTATTTTGTTTTATTGTATGTTATTTTATCTTGATCTTCATTTTTAATTCAAATTTCCTGTTTTGTTTGGTGGCAAGCAGCTCACCTGTGACGCTTAAAAAGGCCAGATGGAAAATGACCCGCTGGATTATTACCGGTACATTGGACTTGATTTTCTTTTATTTTATACCACTCATCCTGCTCAGAGGAAAGCTGGAGCCAGACAACTAGTCAGTTATGGTTCATATATTTATGAGGTTGAATTTCTGACAGTTGTTATCATAAATTATCAGTATTTCAAAAAGAAGACTGGGAATGAACAGGGAATTTATACAGAATGTATTGTACGCAAGTTTAAGTCTAAGACATGCAAGCAAACTTTGAAAATTTGCATTTCGGGCTTCAGTTGATTTGTGAATGGCACTTTATCCGTCCGTCTAATAAAACAGACCGATACAAATTCAACATCTTGAAGCTTCTCTATGCGTTTTCAACCATTAAAATCCCAAGTTACAGACTAACCTGCTCATGTAAAAATAAATTCCCATGATTTCCCAATGTGCAAGTTTAGCATTGTAAGATGCCGCAAGAGGCTCCAAAGTCAGAAGCACGGCCATGTTTGTTTGTCTCTCGCTGGCCCACCCGACTCGTCTTGTTGTTCCTCTGTTCTTTGCGCTAGAGCGGATACTGTGTATGAATAAAGTATAAAAAATATGCACCAGTGTGTGTCAGTGTGGGGCTGACTTCTTTCAAGGTGTGTTTGGACAGGACTCGTATTTTCGGTCACTCAAACTGGAATTTTCGGGTTGGCTTGGGGGGCTTTCAGATCTTTTTACTCTCTTCTCTTTTCCCACTGCGTATTGCAATTGCCTAGTTTTAATATGAATTATATGGGACAATACTGGATGGAATATATTGGTTTGTTTCATTGCTGTTTTCTTTAAATTACTATCCTAGGCCTAGATATTGCTGATACTGCGTATTGTCTATAGCAATAAGAATTTAGTTAACTCTATGCTGAACAAAAAAATAATAATAATCGTCCCTGTTTCTTTCAGTCCTGATACTCAAATGAGAACTTTCAATCACAATGATTTGGAAAAAAAATGAAGTTGCTTGAGATGGGCCAATACACATTTTGTGCCGTTCGTTGTATGTATCATCAGATTTCATTGGAAAAATTCATTTTGAGAGCCTGTGATGAGACTCCACGGCCCCTAGAGGGCGCCTTATACCCACATATGTCAGCGAGGGTTTTTATGGTTGATGGGCCGCCAATTGCGACTTGAAAACATAAAGATGAGAACAAACATGAAACAAATGTGAGTTTCTGTTGCAGGTGTTAATTTATGGAACGATTATGAAACAGAATTGAAAAAGTGGGAATCACTCGACGTGTGAATCATTCGACGCGTTCAAAAAAAGGTTCGAAAATAGAGTTGGTACAAAAATATACCAATCAGGTACATTGCGCTGAGCGAAAACATCTAGATATGATCTTATCCCTTATTTCCATTTTTCTCTCGGTGTGTTGATACGTTCAATCGCTCAATCGGTCATGTAATCAAATCAATCAGTGTCAACCTGTCTTGCCTTCTCTAGCACCACTTCCTGTCTGCTGCTTGTACTGTGACGTCAAATTGTTCCCTAATTGTTTCAAAGCGACGCGGCAGCGAGTACGCGTCGTCCGTTGGTGCCAACTCCTCGCGATGCGCGCACACGACAGTACGTATAATTCATTCATGAGCGCTCATTACACATGCAAATTATGTAGGTCAAAAAAATAAATAAATAAAACATGCCCGAATCATCAACACATCTGCTGCAAAAGCTTGCTTTATGTAAGATAAACGTGAACATGACCCACCGTAGATTTGACGCAGCATAGAAAAGCCAACGCGACTTGGGATCTCGCGAAGGGGCAGGAAAAAATCATCATCATCATCATCTTCATAAAATAATAATACTGTGCCGTGAATCACAAGGCTTCGCATTAGAATTTACAATCACATAGAAAACCAGTGACTTTGTCATTTTTAGACATCTTCATCCAGGATATTACCATCATCATCATCATCATCATGAAATATACCTTTATAATTATTAGCATCAATGTCACACCAAGCACCATTGTCTTGAAAATCACAAATGCTTGCCCGCGCCACGCGCACGCGCACACGCACACATCAGTCATGGCTTTTTTTTTTTTAAACAGCGGCGTCACAGTTCCGGCTCAATAATAAATCTCAATTTTTTTTTTTATGATTATATTTTAAGGCTTTTTTTAAGTCCACCCAGACTGATGCAAACAACAGAAAGCTATACATTATGTATATATATATATATAAACTTAGGCATACAATGTTGAACATTTACAGGTGGTGTCAAACCGTTTCACAGAATGAAAATAAATACTGAAAAAAAATTGATAAGAAGTCAGGTTATAGTCCGATAACAACACAAAAAGCAAGCAAAGGTTACAAACCCAAACACGTTACAACAACGATGGCAAGTGGACAAATAAACAAACAAACAAACAAAAAAAAAGCTTAGTTGGACTGGTGCCCTCAACTGGGCTGCTGTATTAAAAAAAACTTTGCAAAAGACTTCCGAGGCGTATTAAGGCCACACTGAAAAGACTGGGGGGGAATCTTGTTGAGAATAAAGTTCTGCTAGAAACCACGAAAAAAATAAATATGGGAAAAAAAATGTAGCAAGTTTGAGAAAAAAAATGTACAAGAATGGGGTGTCATGTACAAGAATGTATCATTGTATTTTTTAAAGGAAAAATTAATTAGGGAAAAAAAAGCAGGGAATTTTGTTACGAGAGTGGTTTTTTTTCGGGGGGCGGGATTTTACAATACCATTTTTGACCACAACATGTACCATAAGGTGTAACTTGACAAGATCGCCAGCAACATGTTTGGTCTTTTATTCTCAACATTGTTTTCCTGAAAAAAAATTTTTGTTTTGTTTTTGAAAAGTTTGTTTTTGTTGAAAAACTATTTTGTTTTGTACTTTGTAAAATCACAACTTCCATTGAAAAACTTGGTTCATTTCATATAACTTTATTCTTGTATATATATATATATAGCAATATTACAATTTTCTTTGAGTGGAATTACCTTATTCTTCCAAAATCACAATAATTAAAAAAACATGAGTATTTTATTCCTATAAAAAGATTTTTTTTTTACTGTTCTTATAAAACTACCACTTCTTAATCGTGATGATAGGGTATGAATGTCGAGGTAACTTGAGTGTTGTAAAATAGCAATTTTAGTCCAACTTTGCCCTCTTTTTGTTCTAAAGAAGAGCGTTTTCCTCTTACAAAACAGTTTTCTTGCCCTTTTAAGGGGTAAGTAAGTCTTGTAAAATATCATTTATTTTCCTCCAACTATGATATCTTCTTCTTTGTAAAATTAAAATTTTATTCTTGTAAAATGTAGCTTGTATTAAAGCTTGATTGACATGAAATAACTTTGTCATACTTACTTTTATATTTTGCTATGTAAGGGCTGTATTCCTGGTAAATTAACCATATTCTCATTTAAAAAAAAAAATTCTCATAATATACCGGTAGTAACCTTCGCAGAAAATAATTTAATTTAATTCAATGAGCTCTCTTTTTTTTTAATCTATAATATTCCAACTTTATCAGAGTAAAACAACAATTTCATCCTTGGAAAAAAATGACTATTTTTTTAAACTGATTTTATGTTAACGTCGTTATCCATGTAAAATAGTGACACATTAAAAACCGGCAACATTTTTCTTGTTTCTCGTAAAATTAAGAATTTATTGTCATAAAACAACATTAGAACTTCATTGTAAAATTTCACATTTGACGACTGCATATCAGGACTTTTTCTGGTGGAAATGATGGCTTTGTTCTCAGAATGTAGTATCAAGTATTGCTTTTTTTTTTCTTTTCAGTGTAACCCTAAAAGTTCTTGCCCGCCTTTAATACACAAACGCAAATCAAAAATATGCACAGTTCATAATTGTCTTGCCCTTCACTAGTAGATGAAATCAGTCCAGCTGACTCAAGACTCTTTTTCTCTATTTTTTAAAAATTTTAACCCTGCACACTTGCTGAGGTTCCAATCTGGCAGCTCACTTGCGCGCTTACAAACACGTCGCGCGATGGGCTCCCACATGCAAGTGCACCTGAAACATGTTTGAGCGGAATGAGGCGAGGGAGGAGAAGGCGTGCACGTGCACCAAAAAGTCCTCGTGTGTGTGTGTGTGTGTGTGTGTGTGTGTGTGTGTGTGTGTGTGTGTGTTCGCGCGCAGCTGGCCCCTCTTCCAACGGTGTGCATCCCAATTGTCCACCCGCTCAAAAACAACAACAACAAAAAAAAACATCACATCACCGGTTTTGGTCTTGCGGTCTATGCTGAGGTATCCGACGTCATCCGGGCGCCGCTTCACTTTTTGTTGGCGACGCGTCTCTTCCTGGTGGCGAGCATGTCATAGAAGGGGTCTCTGCTGATGCTGGCCCTAGAGATAAATAAGGAGGCAACGTGAGAGGGAGGAGTGGGCGGGGGAGGGTCTCCCGCATCTTTGATATGGAAATGATGCACTTACAAACCCTTGCTTTGATTAGATGAAGAAAAAAAAAAAGGAAGAGTTTGTGCAGTGACCTAGTTTGGTTTCCATGGTTTCCTCCTTGTTACTCGGCGGAAGTGAGGCGCACCTCCGGCCGACGCGTGGAGTCAAACGCAATCACATGCGCTTTTTTGGCGCCCTATTGTGCCATTTTGTGGGCAAACAATGCCTGTAAGAGATGAATCGGCGACGAGCGAGTAGCGAAGCCGTCGGGAATTCACGGAGGGGCACGCTTTCACGGCTGAGAAATCCTGTTAACGCCGGTGCCAAGCAAGAAAGGGGATCAACCCCCCACTGGGCGTAGATCTCATTCGCTTCACAGCGCCGCGCGACCAATGTTGAGCGACAACGAGCTGCGATCAAGTTTGACGCAAAACACGACGACGCTGGTCAAAAAATGTTTCCTGGATTGTTTTTAAATCAGAGATGCAAGTACACTTTCCTACATTTTTTTTCTCGAGCTAGTTAGAAATTAGTAATCCCCGCAAGTGTAATGTTAACAAACAAAATGCCATAGACAGGCGAACAAAAAGTATCAATCTTGCGTTGTGTTGTCACACTTTGAGCACCGGATATTTGAATACAAAACGCAGCCTTAATGTTCAAATGTTGCTCTCAAGTGGCTTTTTACTTTTTAGGAATAAAAGTTCTGTCTCATTTAGATGCGCATTTGAGAGTTTAACCCTTTTGTGCACCCTGTGACCTGATAACATGATAAGCTGTCCATTGCAGTAACCGCTGTCCCTGAAAGGGTCATGATCCATTGCAAGTATTTCTCGATTGTTGCAATTTTGGTCTTACTTGATGGATTTGATCCACTCCTCCTTCTCCTCGGGCGTGGGCGCCGATATCCGGTAGACTACGTGGTTGCCTTCCACCACGCGGCCGTCCGCCTCCGTCTTGCAGGCTTTGATCACCTGACCCTTGTGGTTCGGGTTGTACAGCTCGAAGCAATTCTGCAAAAGGGCAACGTCAGTCCCGCAGGCGCAAATACGACGACTGTACCATCATTTCGCGGGAATAATACGCAATAAAAAAAATAATACATAAGATCCAAAATATTTGCCCCCCCCCCCCGTCCCATATTGTACAATAGGTGATTAAAAACAATTTTTTCACATTTTATCGACATTTACCCGTTCCTAGATATTGTTGCGGACATTTTATTTCCTGTTTCTGGTGTGGTCGCAGCAGTGCAGCAAAATAAGAGCTTAGTTGCCCTTATTACATACCTCTTCTCAGCACTGGCTTTTTGTATGTTCTGTGAGCGTTGGTTAGCATTGCAACATTAGCCACTAGCCGTTTATAGCGCTTTTTTATGAACACGTAAGGGCATGTCGTTGGCCATTTGCATACTGTACAGTCAGCTAACGTCGTAATAACTGTAGCTTCTTGCAAAGTTATTACGGGAAGGTGAAGAAATTATGCTGACATTTACTTTCTGTACGTGAGGTTTTCATAATGTCACGATGCGCTATTATATTTTTACGGCCACCAGATGGTGCTATTACACTGTCTTTTCTGAAGTATTTTAGGGCAGCACACCTGTAGGCAAGGTAGTGCAGGCCTCCAGACTATCCATCACTATTTTTTTTTTTCGAGAAGCACAGTGGGCGTATTATATAAGTGGGGCATTATTCACAGGAAATGACAGTAATGACCTTTTTCAAGATATAAGTGGGGCATTATTCACAGGAAATGACAGTATTGACCATTTTCAGGCACTTCACTTGATGCCGACATTTTACATTGAGATCTCGGGGGATCCCCGTAATTGAGCACATGTTCTCTGCACATGTTCTCAACAATTGTCACTTTCACAGTGATAATTGTTACATTAATTGTTAACTTGAAATCCAGAGTGTGATGACTCCAATGTTGCCGCCTCTGCTCGTAACAGCAAGCGTTTGGCCAATAGAGGGCGAGACTCACGGGCTTCCTGGGCTCCTCCACCTCCCTGATACTAAGGTTCTCCAGGGGAATAATCCCACGGGGCTCCTTGTCCTGGAACATAAAGTGGAGCAGCACATGAGATGATGACTGTGTTTTGGCGAGGTGAAATCAACCCGGCCCGTTCCACCCGCTTCCATTAGTGTGCCATTGAACAAGGCACGTGATGAGTCCGAAACGATAGCTAGCAGGCTAGCGAGCGTACAGTGCTGATGTAACAGCTCATGACGACACGCAGGCGGTGAGACGCTCATTCACGAACACGAAAGCAGGCATAGCTAGCAACAAATTACAGTTTGTTTGTTGTTTTGGGAAGAAAATAATGTGAAGAGAATTCATTCAAGCCATAATCATGAACACTATAGTCTGTGTTATACTGTAATGGCAACATTTTGGTGCTTCCAATGCATGTTTTGTTTTGTTTTTTTCCTTCGGAATTGGTAGTGCCAGCCAATCAGTCCTCTGATTGGTCAGAGCAAAACCCAGTGGCATTTGTGGTGAGTATGCTCTGTTTTTTTTTTTTTTGGGGGGGGGGGCATTGTTGTCATTTGACTAGACAAATACTTATTTTGAACAGCTGAGTCTGTATACTGAATTTTCCACACTCGACGCTTCGGTGTATAAGGCGCACCTTCAATGAATGGTGTATTTTTAAACTGTTTTCATATATAGGGCACATTATAAGGTGCATAGGTATAATACGGGCTGTTGTTGCATTATGCATCCACTAGAAGGAGCTATGCTAAAGGAGATCCAATATTATACAATAAAGCTTGCAGCTGTAACAAAGCACTGTACATTTAAAATACTATGTTCAACAAATTAGAATATTGATCCATATATACAAGGCGCAAGGGATTGTAAGGTGCGCTGTCATCTTTTAGGTGTGCTTTATAATGTGGAAAATACAGTAATTTTAATGTGATAGTGGTGACATGGAAGTCCCCAATGAACAATGTGCGCATTGTTGTTGTCAGTGCATCATAGTAAGAGTTGTGTGTCCACGTCACCGTTGTGTATTCAAAGTAGTAGAGGCAGTTGTCTGTCAGGATGAACCACCTTCTCTTCCAGGTTTTCACTCTGCCTCCTGAGGGGAAGACCAACGGCAAACAGTAAGTCACAAAGTGGCCAACCTATTTTTTCCAAAATCAACTTTATTTCTTATACTATTTGGAGTTTTGGAAAAAAAAAAGATTGGAAAAACTTAAGCTGCAAGGGGCAATGAGTGTCTCTGGACTTTTGTAAACGCCTCCATTCAGAGCCAAACTCCAGTGAAAGCATCCGTATAGGTGTTTGTGTGCTTCGACCCAGCTTTTCCACTTTGCACTCCAGCATTTCCTTCCTGTTTTCTTGGCGCCTCACACTAAGCCAACAATATCTGGGCCGCAAGTCACTTACGTTCCAATAGAATCTGGCTGGCTATTGAAATATAGCGCAGACAAATTTCCGCTCTGCGTATCTAGCCATTTATCCGCTTCACATCCTACGGAGGGGGTATTTTTAGAAAACTGTCACCTGTAGCGCTGTTGCTCTTGCACAGACGCTCTGTTTAGACTGAAAAACACATAAGGGTCAATAACAAGAAAGGCAATGATGCTTCCAAGTATGGAAGGGGCAGCGGGAAACATTCCCAACGTATGACGTAAACGTCAATGCGATCATGTCTAAATTACACTCACATGGGGAAAAAACAGGATATAGACGACCAGGTTTTAACTCTATGTTAATGCACACACACTATTGTGACCAGTCTAAGGATTAGTAATCCTCAATTTCATTCTGCAGTCCAAAATAATGAATTAAAAATGTCCTATTTATAATGGCCCAATTTCAAACACAGAGATAAATTCCAATAGCGGCCGGGGGTAGTCATACACTCAACTGCAGATGGGACATATTAGCTTCTTTTAACATTTCATAGGAATTAAAAGTGGATTTTATTGCAGTTCAAAAAGTTAACTGTGTGCCAATGCGAATATATTCCCGTTGGGCTTTGTTTCATTCTCTTGAGGGGAACGCAGAGACGCTTATTTGAGGGAAAGGTTTATTTGTCACACAGTGACAAATTGAGTCACAAGGTTGGACTGCGCCGACTTGGGGAAATTGGTATTTAACCCTTTCATGCCCCCTGTAACCTGCTAACATGATAAGCTGTCCATTGTAGAGACCGCTGTCCCTGAGAGTGTTAAGGTTTCCAACATTTAAGTCATGGAATAGGATCCCTTTTACAACATTCAAAACACATTGGGGTCAGTGAGATGATGTTGGTTGGATGGTGCAACCATAACTAACAAAATAAAATGTTTGTAAAATGTCCCAAAATAAAGGATGGGGGGACTACTGATACCAGGTATCAGCATGGGATCCGATGCCGGGCTTAAAGCTGCCCATACCAGTCATTAGTCAAACTGTGTGTCATTGGTTTAATAGAAATTTGACATAACAAATGTACTAGTAGTATCGGTTACTTGGTATCGGTATCCATACTCAGGTTACTAGTGGTATCAGTTACTTGGTATCGGTATCCGACTCAGGAATTTAGTATTCGTACTAGTAACGGATGCCTAGGGAAAAAAAAACATTCTAAACAAATTGTAAAAAAAACTACTTGTGCATGTGCAGTGACATTATTTAGTGTGGCTTCATCGTAACATGCTTGAAATGTTGCGATTCCCTCTCGTTTCTCCTTCACTGTCCTCTCGACTGTGTCCAACGGGTAGGACAGAGTAAAAAGGTATTGATTCAAAAGCAGGCGAGTGACGGGTATTGATGAGAAGAGGAAGGCCAGGAATTAAACGTGGCCACAAACCTAATTTGAGCAGCCAGCCCTCCCTGTCTGGATTGAAGAACGTGTGCGTCAGGTCGTTGCCGTCATCCTCCGGGATCTTAAATGGTTCGCTTTTGATGCTGTCGTACAAATTCTGCACAGCAAAAGAGCGAGAAAAAAAAAAAGCCACGTTGACTTCACATTGACCGGATGAGAGCAAACATCCATCCAAGGCAGTGCATTAAAGACGACATTGACAGACTGCGTTTCCCCTTTCAGGCCGCCGAGCAATCATGCTTCATATGTTACTGCTTTGATTTAAAGAGCACGTGGCGCCTGTTTTTCGACTCAAGTCAGGACTAAAGTACACAAAAACAGTCGCGGAAGGGTGGCTGGACCTGCTTTTACGTCTCGGTGTGTTGCTTCACAACCTTCCGTGGGCTTTTATTGAGGAACATTGGACGTGATTTCAAAGGTTTGTCATTGATGGTGGAGGCCCCTCACCCTGAGCAGCTCTTCCGGGAGGTCTCCGCCTTCGTTGATGCCACGGTTCATGGAGATGAAACGCTCCACGGGCGGTTTGTCTCGGACGTTGGGGTTGTGCAGGCTGGTGTTCAGCATGATGATGGCGAATGAAAGCACGTAGCAGGTGTCTGTGGAGGTCAAACAGGCATATATTCTTTATCATCTGCAAAGAAAAGAAATGACTAATTACTGTAGCTTAGTTGTCGAGGTCTTTTTCAGTGTTCCATCATCAAATGTACGTCTGCATGTATTATACGGCACCTTGGTGGCCAATGCACACAGTACCCACTGAATTCATGATTAATGATGATGAAAATGTTTAATTATTTCCATAACTTCATATTATTATTGGACATGTTTATGAAGTTCTTTACAGTAGAGTGCATTTTTATTACATTTTGTTGGTGTGGTTTTTTTTTAGGAGCCGAAACAGATTAATGGTATTTCAATTCACTACAATGAGGAAAGATGATTTGGGTTACAAATCACTGGAGTTGCTGGTCTGATCACTGAAGAAAAGTTCAGTGGAAAGTCAAGGCGCCACTGCAATTGAGTGTAAATTTTCCCTGAAACCACATTTTGATGAATTTTCTTCAACGCCCACTTTTAAAACCCAAGTACAGAAACAGTCTGGTTACAACCCCCCCCCCCCAAAAAAAACTACCAATCATAAGGAAATTGAAGTATGTGTTTTAACAGTGTTAATTGTTGCTGGGATGACAGGAGCAAATAATTTGAAGGACAGAAATCACTCTTTTCTCCCCGCACCACCCGACTCACTTTAATCAACAAACAGCTTGTTGCTGTTGCACTCAAACACACTTGTATTGATCTAGTGACACCGTATCACTTACTCCCTCCCTCCAGCCTGCCTCCACACATCTCCTCCGTTCGACACTTCCGTCAATCGGCGCTGTCGTTTGGAACCCTGCGTGCGCGCTGGCCGTCTCGACGAAGCCGATAACTAAAGACTGGATGTGTTGCCGCGGAAATGCATCAATATTCATGACCAGAACAAGCCTGCCCCACTTCGAACAGTCATTTGTGTAATGATAGGAGGCAACGGGGGACGCGGGACCACTATTGACCCACCTCGATCGATTTTTTTTTCACTGTCTAGAGACATATGATGCGGTTGATGATTTTGCTGTTAAAACGTACTAACAAGGCAGATTGCCTGAGAACGTGTCAATGCTGAGAAATATTGTTGGCTGTGTACTTGCGGTTAACACGAGCTCATCTGTTGCACATCCAAATTAGCAAACCAAAGGAATATTGAGGAACTCATTCGTTGTGTGTCGGAGTGAAGGGAGCAGCGCTGATGTGGGGCCAAGTAGGGCTGATGGCCCGCTGTCATCAATCCTGGCTGACTCATCAATCAACCACAGTGCGTGTGTGTGTTACCTGAAGACTGGAAGACGCCAGGATTGCACTGACAGTATCTCGAGGCGAACGCCTCCATCATGCGATCGATCTTCTGCGCTTCGCCAGGAAGTCTGAAGCTCCACAGGAACTGCCTGCAACGCAAATACGGTGGCAGCGCGTTTGAATGAGAGCGCGGCAGCAGATGGCCCTGTAAAGTCGTTACTTTTATCATCGGTAATAAACGGTCATACATTGGACGGGCGCCTTTTAAATGACCTCACCGACATTTGTGGCTCGTTTGAATTGATTCTCGAAAGGACAGCCTGACAAAACATTGAAAATGGGATGAAACTGTGGAATTGGACGATAGTATCGTGAGCGTAATATTCCATGAACAGCATGAAACACCAAAGCTGTACTTCTAAGAGAGAAACGAATTGCTTTACGAAAGCAAAAAAAAAAAAAAAAAAAAACCTGAAAAATAATTGTTTTTCAATTATTTTTCAGTTTTTTTTTTTTATGTCTCATAATAGATGCATTTAGTGGCCACAGTATTAGGTACACCTGGAGTTCTTTCAGAAAAATGACCATTCAAAGATGGCACAAAACTGCTGAACAATAGTTCAAGTACAAGAATTTGTTTTGTTTGGGTTTTTTTTCCCCCCCAAAAAAATTCAACTCACTCAAATTTGTAGTATTGATATTGAAGATCCCTAGCTCCCAGTCTTCACCAAAAATGAGGACGTTTTCACTGTTGCAATATTTTTGGAGAGGAGTGTCGGATGAGAATGTGACTCTCGGCGCAGTCCGCCCAAACTGAGCTTGTGCGTCTTTGTTAACTTAGCAGGCTGCTTCCTGCTTCACGAAGGGTTTGTACTTTTCCAATTCTGGGCTCAGTTGCATTGCAGTGATTCAACAGGAGCAAATCGATTCTGTGCGAGTGATTGCCAAGCGGTGTCCCGTGGCCCGTTCGTGCAGGCCCTCGAGGCAAACTCACCTCAAGGCTTGGACGAGGTTAAGATCTGCGAACTCGTGAAGCTCCACAAACGCCTGGAGCACCTTGATGTTGAAGTCATCCCTGAGAGAGCGAGCGAGAGAGAGAAACCGTCACATCCACATTCACACTGCACTTGATTGCAAATTGAAGGCATCTGTACTTTGGGGCTGGCTGTTCTTCAAAAAACAAAAGTAACTTTTTTTTCCAAGTGTCTTTACTTCTGGTTAGGTGCAGGGTGCATGTACATTTTTGCCACCTTGCTTGAAATTGCACCGTCAATATGAAGCACGATGTTTTTTGGCTTGGCCCCTCGTGAATCCGCAACTAATTTTTCCGGAGCATACCGGATGTGACAAAGTGATGACGAGGAGGATAAAGAATGCAGCTGGAGGACTCACCGCTCCCCTAAGTAGTCCCCGATCACCGTCTTGTTTAGCCCCTCGCCTTTGTAGAGGAATTGCGCAATGTCCTCTGGCGTGTTCTGGAGGAGATCGTTTTCCAGAAGGAACTGGATGCCCTTCAAACCCAAGAAAAACGACACTGGTCAAAAAACTCTTTTTAATCGCTTTGTGTGCCTCTCAATGTATTTTTGTCGCTGATTTAAAAAAATGTCTAGCACATCAGGTTTTTGAGACATTTTCATTTTTTTGTTGTTGTTTTTGACATGTAAAAGCGTTCGCAATACGGATTTTAACACATATTGTAATTTATTTCTATGATGTTTAAATATGACTCTAATATAATGTGCTAGAGACAAAACAAGGGCAGATTTGGAATCAGCGCAAAAAAAATAATAATAATAATAAAATAATGCCGAAAAGTTTACTTGCATCCCAGATTCAAAAGTGTTCTAAAAATGTGTTGGTCCTCGTAATCCTAACCTAAACAAACTGTTTGGATCAAATTTGAAAGACGGTAAATTTTATTTTGAAATTGATCCAAAATACACAAATATAATATACAATATAAAGTATTCTTTTGTAAAGGTGCCACAAAGTGTCTGTCCACTGAATCAGTTCTCAAGTTGAACCTTGAAAGTGTCCGTGCCATAAATGTGTGCTTTTTTTTATTTTGTTTTGTTTTGTTTTTTTAATGGGACAGTGGTCACAGTGTATAAACACTCCCGATAAGGTTTGTGTTCCTGACACATGTGCACGGGTTATCATAAACATTCAGGATTCATCATCCACATTATGAGCTCAGGCAGGCGACTAATACAACTTGAAAAGATCTACAATGCATAATTTGACCGAAACAAAATATGAAGAGGACATTTTGTTGGCTCAGGTCCAAATCAAGCCGGGTAGGTGAGAAAGAATCATTTCAGGGCATTTGCTGACCTTTTTGGGGTCCATGTTGAACTTCTTCCTCCCCATGGCGATTTGTTTGTTTCGTTGTGTGGTTTTGCTGCGCAGAAAAACAAAGATGCAGCCATGACGTGTTTGGTCAACTGTCACCTTGTTGGCCAGCCAACCATGTTTGTTTAGGATCGGTTTTAATGGAGGCGCTCCAATAAAAGCCCCAATTTGCACGAGCTCCAACGGGGAGGCTTTCCACCTTGGTGCAGGTCCCTCATGTTTGCTCGCAGCCAAACAAGTCCTGAGCGGTTTGGCTGCTGCACCTGGGACACGAGACCTCACTCCACCTCATCAACCAATCAGATGAAAGCTTCTGAGGCTAGGCGCCTAGCTAATGTTTAGTCTGGGGGATTACAACACACGCGCGAATACAATCCGTTCCTCACTGTTGCACACACACACACACACACACACACACACACACACAAACACACACACATACACACACACACACACACAGACACACACACAGACACAGACACACACACACACACACACACACACACACACACACACACACACACACACACACACACACGTAACCACAGTAAAAAGCGGGTAACTTCTTATTGTGGGGACAATGGTTAACATTCACGCTGCGGAGCATCTTTATTTTTCTTCTTTTCCGTCCATGCTCACTGAACACTATTTTCTCTTTTTAGGCAGTTGACATGCTCTTGTCAGTCACAAGCATGAAATGAAATGGAGCACCAATGCAACTTATTTAACAAATTAAAAAAAAAAAAAAAGTGAAATGCGTACATATTTGACTTGTATTATTTTCAATGAATCAATGAACCAAATATTGAACAACATAAGTGATGATAAAATGAATGAATAAATGCATTTGAACTTCAATTTAACCCCTTTCATCCACCCGGTAACCTGATTACATGATAAGCTGTCCACGGTAATAACCGCTGTCCCTGAAAAGGTTTAAGAGGAAAAAAATGGTTACATTTTAAAACCCATGTGCTGCAGTCGATCCAAATAAGTTTATATAACGCAACATACAATTTTACAAAAATTGTAAAAGTATTATTCCTGAATATTTATTTCACTTTCAACCACTCGACATGTTCAGTGGCATCAGTGCTATACATACACATGTAGTTCTGATTTCTTTCTTTGTATTTTTGCCCTCTATGGACAATAAAAGCGGTATTGTGCTATGACCAAAACATAAATATAAATCTATATAAATAAAACATGAATTGGAATATTTCATATCACACACTTTTTATGCTGTGTCTTTGATTTAAAGATGACAATACGCAAAAATCTACAAAAATTGTAGAAATTGTAACATATGGGGTAACCCATGTGTTACAAACATCGTAGAAATTGCAGCACAAGGGTTACTGCAACAAATATTATAAGTCTTTATAATGATTTCCGGTGGTTCAGAAATGTTGACTTTGGAGTGCACTTATTAGATTGAATATGACTTCTTGAGGAAAATGTTTAAAAGTGGACATTTGTAGAATGTGGAAAAACAGTCGGCAGGATGTTCTGAAAGAGCGGAACATTGTCATGTTGGAATGTTTTGAATTCTGGAAATGTTGACACATCACGAAAGTGAATGTAAGATTCTGAGCCTATCCCAGCTGAGTTTGAGTGAGAGGCGAGGGACATCCCTGGACTGCTCGTTTGCTAATCATGGTCACATCTCCAAAGAATTTAGAGTCTCTAATTAACATAATAAGCAACCAAACACGCAAACACTAAGACAACTGAGATTCAAACCCGGGACGACCGTAATTATCATGACCATAAGTTGGATATAAAAGTCTGAAATTTTCTCCAAAATGGACGGGCCGCCTAATAATGCAGGTCTCCTCGTGTACACGCCGAGTTCCAAAATCTGGGAATGCTGTTGTGTGACTTCGTGACATCTGCCTTGCTTATACAGAGGAAAAGTGGATGTAACTGAGGACAGCAGGCAGACGTGAAATTGGGAAAGGTAGGTGTGAAAGAGGACCCTAAAGCAGCAACATTTGGCGGATTACAAAAAAAAAGCTGGCCATCTTCCGCTCTTACTGCAGTAAAGAGTGTCATGTTCTTCATTACATTTAACAAAGACGATTTCTTGGAGATTTGAATCCTGTATTTTGCTGCTCTGTCAACTTCACTTGGTTTCCGTGACCAACTGTTATCTCAACCAATCCCTTCATTCCTACATAGCCAATTGGGCTACGGCAAGCGATGAGGGACAAGCATACTATGCATTTTTTGTAACACAACAAAAAGATTGCCGACGAACATTATTCCAGCCCAACCATGGGACGAGCTGCCGCTCACTTTCGACATCTCGAAGCACCACACTGTAGAGAAGAAGGGGACCAGCACGGTAGCGATACGCACAACGGGGCGCGTGAAGTTGGCTTTTACTGTTGTGTTTGGTCGCCATGGTAATGGACAGAAACGGCCAAAGTGAAGTTGCGAGCGGCGTGGGAGTGTTGGTGAACACAGTTTTACTAAGACAGGGAGGCAGCGCCGGGCCATTGTGACTGGATTGTTGATGCTTGGGCTTGCGCTGTTGTTCAAGTTTACTCAAAAGCCGGCATCATTTCTGAGGAGCCGCACGGCAATGAGACTTCAGTAAAGTACAACCGAACTCAGTTTTGCTCCCTGTGCTGTTTTAAATAACATACGTTAGCGTGCGTGCATGCTATCGTATTTTTTTTTAAACTAGCTTAAGTTTGACCACACCTGCGTCCAATCATAAAATGCGTCTCGTGTATGTGTTAAATATAGAAATAGCACCCATAACTGACCCCAGGCCTTTTAATACGGTGCGTTGTATGGTCGGGAAAATACGGTACTTGACTGTGAGGCAGATGTGCTAACCACTCCATCACTGTGCTTGTCACTCAAATTCAGGTTGAAATCCATATTTTACAACTTCTGATCTAGCATTATATAATATCTGTCATTTTTCAAAATCATTCAGCTCTAATAAAGAAGCATGACTTTAAAAAAAAAAAAAAATCTGAATAAGGGGGAGGATTGT